CTATACATTTGTTTGCTTCTTATTGGTTTTCTCTAACAAAAATATAGCCTTTAGGAGGTTAGGGACATTTTGTCTTCTATGGGTTCTGTAAACTGCTAATTTGAGGCATACTAATGAGGCAGTGGCTTAGTGGTAATTCTTTGCGCCACTTAGATAAGGAAGAGAGATCTTTTCAATTTTTAGCAACCCAGGCCCAGTATACCAATATTCCATGTAAGATTTTGCTTGGGGAAAAAAAGGAACTCTACTTTTCTTACTAGGTAAATATCCTAGCAAACTAATGATATAGTATGTGGTGTGATATCAAACAAAGAGCAAATGCTCCTTTTCAATTACTATAGCGACCTAAGCAACCAATGCAGCTGTCTAAAAATAAAGATGCCATCTGCCTATAATTTGCAGAGGATGTTATTGTTTTGTTTCCTAAAAAGTAAAAAAATATATATTATATTTAAAATGAATAGAAGAATAGAAAATATTATCAATATTATCAACAGAATTGGAAAATTAAAATTAAAAACAACAAGCACTATAATGCAAGAGTACTCAGGATACCATCAAACAAAAAAAAAAAGAAAATTTTTTTCAAGAACTGGAACTAGAACAAAGAATCCTAAAATTTGTATGGAACCACAAAAGATGGCAAATAGCCAAAATAATCTTGAGAAAGAAGAACAAAACTGGAGATACCATGCTCCAACATCTCAAAGTATACTACAAAGCTACAGTAATCAAAACAGTCTGGTACTGGAACAAAAACAGACACATAAAACAATGGAACAAGGTAGAGAGCCCATAAATAAACCTACACACATATGGTCAATGAATCTATGCCAAAGGAGGCAAGAATGTACGATGAGGGAAAAAAAGCCTCCTCAATAAATGGTATAGGGAAAGCCGGACAGCTACATGCAAAAGACTGAAACTGGACCACTATCATACACCATATACAAAAATAAATTCAAAATGTTTTAAACACTTAAATGTGAGGCCGGAAACAATAAAACTCTTAGAAGAAAACACAGGCAGTAAGCTCATTAACATTCGTCTTAGCAGTATTTTTTTTTTTTGACCAGTCTCTTCAAGCATGAGCAGCAAAAGCTAAATTAAACAAATGGGATTATATACATAAACAAGTGGGATTATATCAAATTAGAAAGTTCTTGCACATTGAAGAAAACCATCAACAAAACAAAATGGCAATCTACAGAATGGGAGAAGAGATTTGCAAATCATGAACCAGTAAGGGGTTCAATTCCAAAATAAATAAAGAACTTACACAACTTAATACCAAAACACTCAACTTGATTTAAAAATAGGCAGAAGACTTGAACAGACATTTTTTTCAAAGACTACATAAAGATGGCCAACAGGCACATGAAAAGAGGCACAAAATCACTAGGCATCAGTGAAGCCCAAATCAAAACCAAAATATCACCTCACACTGGTCAGATTGGCTACTATCAAAAAACAAAAAAACAAAAAAAACAAATGCTGGTAACAATGCTGAAAAAAAGGGAACCATTACACAGTGTTGTGGGAATGTTAAATTGGTGCAGCCACTATGGAGATTCTTCAAAAAATTAAAAATAGAACTACCCTATGGTTTGGCATTCTACTTCTGGGTATTTTTCCAAAGAAAATGCAAACACCAATTCAAAGAGACCAGGGATGCCTGGGTGGCTCAGTCAGTTAAGCATCACACTCTGGATTTCGGCTCAGGGCAGGATCTCACTGTTTGTGAGATTGAGCCACATCGGGCTCACACTCAAAGCCCAGAGCCTGCTTGGGATTCTCTCTCTCTCTTTTTTCTCTCTGCCCCTCCCATGCTCACATGCACATGTACACTCTCTCTTTGAAATAAATTTTAAAACAAAAAAACAGTAAAAACACAAAGAGATATATTCACTATGTTCACTGCAGCATGACTTACAATAGCTAAGACATGGAAGCAACCTAAATATGTGTATGCATGCACAGTGGAGTATTACTCAGCCATAAAAAAGGATGAGATCTTGCCATTTGGTGACAACATGGATGGACCCAGAGAGTATTATGCTAAGTGAAATAAGTCAGAGAGGAAGACAAAGACCATATGACTTTACTTATATGTGAACTCTAACAAACAAAGAAATGGAAACAGACTCATGGATACAGGAAACAAACTGCTGGTTACCAGAATGGGGAGGGGATGGGGGATGGGCAAAAAATGTGAACAAAATTAAGAGATACAAACTTCCACCTATTAAATAAAGTCATGGTATGTAACGTACAACATAAAGAATATAATCAACAGTATTGTAATAACTATGCAGTAAAAACATGGTAACTAGACATCATGGAGGTCATTTCATAATGCATAAAAAATATCAAATTATTATGACGTACACCTGAAACTAATAGGGTATTGTGTCAGTTATATGTAAAATTAAAGAAAGGCCACAATATATATAGCCTGCTTTTTCAAAATATTTCTTCATCAAAAATATATCTCAATAGCTGTTAAAAGAAAAATATGATTCCGATCATTCAAATAACTACACAATTATCTGAAGAAAAGATTTGAATAATAAACAGATTACTTTTTATTGGAAAGAAAACCTAAATAATGTTTATGTTATTGATAAGAAGTAACTGTCAATTTTAATATTCACATAAAGAAATAAGGATACTGCAAATAGTATTCATAATATACACTGTATTATTCTCAAATAGAAAAACAGTATACCCTTAAATTCAGTAATTTTATGTGGAAATTTAACCCAAAGAAAAATTTAAAAACCCACCCACTAGTATCAAAGTACCCATGGTAGATTACCTGTAATAGTGAAAAATTGAGTACAATAATCCAAATGTATAATAATGGCAAAAGTTAAGTAAGTTATGATTTTTATTAGACAGATTACTGTAGAACTGAAAGTGATATATATAGTAACATCATGTACAAAGTAACATCCAAATGTTTGTGAAATGATCAGCAAAAAAAAAAAAAAAAA